AAGAATTTCCCAAAATGTCACATTAGACTCTGTTTCGGGTCTTTTGTGACTCAAACAGTGTCAACTTCTCCTTTTAGATATGCTATTTATGTCCAGATTAAACGTATTGTAATTTTTTAAAGTTTTTTTGTTGTTGTTGAAAGTAATTTGATTTTTATGAGGTTGGGTTCAGAAATGCCTTCATATAGATTTCACGTCACACTTTTAAATTACAAGACAAATTCTCAAAACGTGTCCATTTCCGTTTTATAATATTATGTTGTGGATTCTGAATGATAATCTGATGTATTTGTCTATTACGAGTTGATATCCCGGTTTCAAACTTTCTTATGCTGGTAAGATAGTCATCTATGTATAGTTACGTGGATGTGCTAGAATATTTTACTGGAAATAGTAGTATTCTTTGTTATTTAGGACGATATAGTAAATAGAGAAAAAAATAACATCGCTTTCTCAATACATAATTCCAAATAACATCCATACATGAAATACTTGTAAACTATCGTGAAAAATATTTGATTTTAATCTGACAAAGTTGTGTGAAACACTTAAGCAAGATTGTAAATTCAAATAGAAAATAAAATAATAGAGCAAGTAAATAAATGAAAATTTTTAGGTGGCACACTAACTTAAGCAGGGGATGTTGATCAGAAAGATCGTATAAAACTTTTAATTATTTAAATGAAATTCTTACATGGTATCTGTGGAACAAAGTTAGAAAGGATACACTTTAAATTCGACCAAGTAATGTTTGTTCTGTAAGCTCTCCTGTATGGAAGCAAAAATAGTTATCAACAACTCTCGTTTACGAGAGTAGACTCCGCGCAGACGAAATAACATTTCGTAGAAGTATATTGGAATACAGAAAGACCACGAAACGAACATAGACATAAGAAATAAGTTACTCATTACAGGCATCAATTAAAAATTCAATGAGTATAGAAACAGGTGGAATATTTCTCTCGCGAATGAACCAAACAAAACTGGCCTTCCACCTCTGATAATATAAGCAGAAACACCACCATACCGCATGAAGATTTCAATATATAGCTTTTTTTTAAAAATTTTGCCAGAACCAGAATGACAAAAGGAGACACTCAACCTTCCGGAAGAACAAACCTTCAATTGGCGAGTCAAAATCTTCTAAAATAATTATGAGTCTGTGGAGAATCATTTTATATCAATTTTAAGGTTACACGGAAGCCGGAGTATATCAGATAAGTCAGGTGTTTTATAACACTGTCGAAAACGACTATTGGCTTTAACGAGATGACCACGCGTCGTAGACATCAAGGCGCAAAGGAAAACTGTGCAACAGATCCATCTGATGAGAAGACATCAACGCGTGAAGAATTCGTAAAACAACTTTCTTTGACATGTGGAAGAGAACTTCACACGGACGAAATATCTTTCCATCACTCAAAGGATAAAGAGCCAGTTTATCTAACTGAAGACATTTAAAACTGCACGTATGACGTAAAATACCTCATCTCCTCAATACAATAATTATAAAAAGATGCTTTGTCAGCTTCTCATCTGCTTTAGAGAAATTGTATTTTATCACACCTTTTTGCACCTGGACCCAGGATAGGAAGACGTAAATGGATTGTTGGTAACTTTCAAATACCTAATTGATTCATGTGAATCTAAATTAATGCAACTATTTGTCTGTACGTGTGTTGGCACTGGATAGTCACAAATATCAAAATTATGTCCTTGGGGCTTCCAAGCTTATTTCGCTTAGCTTGGCACATCGCTTTGGAAGCAGGGTATTCCCGTGAACCCAACTTGGAATATCAAATCAGGATGACTAAGCTTCAGTCTCGATTGAACCCGACGATCTTAAGAGAATTTCTCTATATAAAAAAAGGCACACGTGAAAAATATTGTGACCGTCTTACGTTTATAGGCGGCTCAAGACGAGGTCCTAACCGGTTCAAATATTGGGTTTCTCAAACTCTAGTTAGAAATTGAAGCAGCCAAAGAACTCTCAATTACTTATTAATCACAAGTTTTTAATTAATCAAAAGTTTAATTAATTAAAAGTAATAAAGTTCTAACCGTTGCACAGTAAATAAATTTATTAAAAAATATGTTTACGTGCATTTCCGACGTGCGAAAAAATCCTTCATACGCCCTTCTTCGGAGGGGAAGTAAAGCCGGCTGTCCCATGTTAGTACATTTACTTGCATGTAAAAGATCCTCAAGTCTAAATGACGCCTCTGAGCTAAATTCAATTCGCCTGTTTCGTCGCCCAAGAAATACCTCCTTTCTCTGCTACTTGGTGAAAGGAGCGTAGCGAAATTTGCGTGGTCAGACGGAAGAGCGGGCCTGATGGCCCGAGTCTCGCCATGTAAAATGAGGCATTAATTCAATTCAATACAGGCGCGGATCCACGAGGAGGGAAATCCCCACCCCATTATATTTTTCAGTAACTACTAATGTTACGAAACTTTCAAGCAAAACTATTTTCGGATAATCATTACAACGAATAAAATCGTATCGCAGCATGATCTGAGTGTAGCCCGCGACATTTTACAAAATCTGTAATGACACAGTCGACCAAAACATTCTTAATTTCCCCTCCCAAAATTTCCTCTGAATCCGCCCAATAATTTGTTAAGTTTTTGTAAAAAAATAATCATAGTAATAATAATAATAATAATAATAATAACAACAATAATAATAATAATGTTGAATTCGGGGCCCTATGGTATCCACATTGATGAATATGAATTCGGGACCCACAAGGCAGCTTACCGTTAAACCCGCCACTGATCCATGTGAAGACTTCAAATACAGTACATTGAAATCGCTAAAAAATGTCAGTCGGAAAACAGTTTTTGAAATAACTTAGCAAGATTACAATTATTTTCGAATTACACGTTGAAAAGCCCTGCCGAACTTCCCTAATAGGTCAGACGTTTCTTCGTACGGGAGAACTTCATATTGCAGACTTTTTCTTCAATTCACAATTATTAACGGAATTCGTGGTAAGGAAAATATTTACCTCTTTCGCTGAAGAATAAGCTAACTAAAACCATTTTATCATTCTCTGTCTAGACACAGCACATTGATACCAAAATCCAGCAAACTATTTGACCTTCACATTGCACTTGTGTATCCATTCAGTCTTTTTTTTTTCTTTTTTTTATCTTCCGGAGGCTTTTTTCACCTTTCAGGGGATGCTGATATCGACTATCCCCGCCGGATACCCACTATGTCCCTCACCAGGACACATACTAACCAGGGACGGATCCAGAGTTAAATTGAGAGAAAATTAAAAATGTTTTGGTTGACCGTGTCATTACAGATTTTGCAAAATGTCGCAGGCTACACTCAGCTCATGCTGTGATACGATTTTATTTGTTTTAATAATTGTACGAAAATAGTTTTGCTTGAAAGTTTCGTGGCAAGTTAAAATTAATAGTTACAGGAAAAAAATTTAGTGGGAGGGGGGGGGAGCGGTGAATTTCCCTTATTTCCCTCCCCGTGGATCCGCGACTGTACCAACCTTTACACTGGACACACTTGCGGGGTCCTCGGTCTGTGATCAGCAGAATCACAAGGTCTTCCACGACAATACACATGCATGGAAGACAAGGGACAAGAAACCATGCCCATGGCGGGACTCGAACTCGCGATCCTTCAGACCGAAGCGTAGAGTCGGCACACGATCTAGTCACCTCGGCCATCCAGGTTGACTGTGTACGTAAGGCACTTCATATACATTACAAAGGATATCATCTTTTAAATTGCTAGCCTGTAAAGCGTGAAGTGTAAATGAAAATACAAGTCTTCATTTCGGAACTTAATCTGCAATTTAAATTATAAAATTTCTTAAATAATTTTACGTGGTTTTAATTGTACTTTTTTTGTTCCATAAAGAACGTTAACCAGATCACGATGGTTAGCTATCATTGCTTTCTTTCAGCTCAGAAGTCGCAAAAGAGTGCTGCTTATGGTTACACACAGCCTCAGGAGAAAAACAAAGTAATAATTACAATCTAAGGTATTCATGTTTTCTCTAATAAATTATACGCAGCGTTGGTAAACCTGCTAGCATATTCGTAGCTTTCATTAAGAAAATAAAACAATATTATCATTCAGAATTAAAAATAAGTATATCACTTCAACGCCCTGCCAGAAGCAAAGTACCCTTCAGGAGTCAAATTGGAGGGGGGTATCAAAATTCCAGAGAGGATTGAATTGAGTGAAAAGGACATATCCTTCGCTTAAGTAGCACAGTGAAAATAAATCCTAATAATGTTATTCGGAAAGTTTTCTTTCCGATTTTCCTGATTTTATAATTTTTGAGATCATAAATGAAGCACCTAGATATAGAGTAACATGTCCCTGACAAGGGCAATTTCTTGTCCAACAGCTGACTTCAAGCTCTGTAAAGGGATCCTCGGCGTGTCCCCTCGTCAAGACTCGCGATAATCCATCGTCCCCGTCGTCTTGGTGTACTGAATGTGACAATGAAGTCATTGAGGCGCGGGTCACCCGGGCGGGCCGCGGAGGACGCCCGCTCGCGGGGTCGCAACCGGTGAAACGACGAGTCTCATCACTGCAATTAGGATGTTGCGAAAGTTGGTGAAAAAAAAAGCAGAGACCGCTCCGACGAGCGACAAAGTAACTGGTCCTAAATGACCGAGGGCGGAAACATCTCGCTGCCGAGTGGTGGCGGCGCGACTGCGTCCCCTCACAGGCGGGGTAACAGCAGAAGCAACAGGTCTCTTGGTTAAAAACGATTGGCGAATCGCCCAATAACCCACGACTGTACAACAGAAATGCCACTTCCTGCGCATTATCCTTTCTATAAGCTTGTTGATAATTTTTACCCCCCCCCCCCATGAAATGTCAACAATGCAATGTTCTTACCTGATTTTACGCCTCTGGAATATCAGTCCCTCAACCGAAGAACCCAATAACAACCCAACACACAATAGTTACAAATTTACGTGCGTATTGGTGATCAAAAGGAATAAATCACTCACCAGCACAAAAAGTTCTCGTCGAAGACGGTCTTGCCACAGCGCACTGGCACAGACTAGCGCAGGGCCCGGTTCTCGTCGCGAGCCTGGCCTGCTGCTGGCCGTCTGCTTTCCGTAACCCCCTCTCCGGAACGCAACTCCGGCTGGCCGCAGGGCGCATGCGCGCCGCGTCCCCACGGAGCTCCCCACCCTCCCGCGCTACAACACACACAAACGAAGTGTGCGTAGAGTATGTGGGTGTGTGTTGCGTCAGGGTGGAAGCAGAAGTAGCGTACGCTCAAGTCCGCGGTTATATTTCGGATCATCGGATCTCCCTTACCTAGGCGTCGTCAGCCCTTCGTATTTCGTGTACTGTTGTGGCAATATCATTTCACAGTTATACCGCATGGTTTAGGACACCCACAATAGGGTGACCAGATTATTTTTATTTTTTTTACCCGAAAGAGAATGTGAGATAGTGACAATGTCAAGGTTCCAAAAAAGACCTGAGATGACACAATGTTGGCAAAATTACCACGGGGAATTTAAAAACGCGTATATTATTTATTGTTGGGACAATTTTACCTGTATGAAAATATCAATTAACTAAATTATTCAAAACTTATGTTTATATGGAATTTAATTTTCAAATTTGCTCTAGAATTGACACAAATCAATCGAGATACATTGTGCTAATACTGAGCAGCTTAACACAATTTTCCCTGGTTCCAGGTAAAATAAATATGACTTTTTAAAGTGAAGTTCCTTTTAAATCAGCCTCTACCTACAGTAAATCTTAATACTGTTTCATAATCCAAATTAACTTTGTTGGGAGAAAATATTTACCCAATATGCTCCACACACCATCATAAAATAAGTAAAATTTCCTGCTAAGATACTAAACTCCACATTGTGATGCCATGACTGACAGATATCACTGAAAATATCATGTCAAAAATCTCCATGTGATGTGTGTGTGTATGTATATATATATATATATATATATATATATATATATATATATACACTATATAGTATAATGTTTTTTGTTATTTCACAAATTTTGAAAATAAACACGTTACACTTCAAGTTTTGAAACTTTTAATGTGTGTAAATGCTTATTAAAATACGAATAATGGACACCCAGCAGAAACAATGGGCTTGAGGCAGTAGATGCATGGGGACCGTTTCAAACAAACATTCCCCTCATTTATTATTATTATTTTTAAATTTAATTACATTTCAACTACAGTTAAATATATTTTGTTTTGTTTTTCAAAAAATGTATTGAAGAAAATAAATTTTTTCTACATTTTTGGCACCTTATTGAAGTGAGGGGCTAGGGCAATATGCTGCAGCTCTCCCACCCTCTGAGCAGCCCTGAGTAGAAAACCATCTGTTGATGAAATGTTTTAAAATTTTGGAGTTGAAATAATACAAATTCAATTTTTAAAGCAGATGGTGCACGTTCACAGAAGTGCAAGGATTGATCTTAAGATATTCAAAACTCTGTGCTAAACCGTGAAAATATTTTATTTGCACTTATGTGATATTAACAGCATTATAGTGGCTAAGTGGAAGATCAAGACAAAATAAGTTTTCCCCAGCACAGAAAAATTTTGCTGTCATCAGTGACAATTTATAATGTTCTCATCAGTCACAAATGTATGAGGGAATCCCCTCAGTTGTATTACATACTGTACCCTTTTCCATTTGTCAAGATGACTTCCAACACACTTTGTAACTGCACAGTTTATGGCCAATATTATCATTACGTTCCAATAAAGTAATGAGAAGGGATAAAAGGAGAATTGAGTCAGCATAGAAAATAGATTATTTTACTTTCAAAAGATAACAACTCTTATTAAGAGATAGTTACCCTACCTTTAGGTGACAATCTCCTGTTTTCTATGTCATAGTATTTCCTCACTCAAATACTAGGAATGTCTTTCATAATCCATTGACTGTAGTTGAATTCACATTTCTGCAGGTTAACAAATAATGAAAAGATCACTGCTGCTTCGGTTATAGACTATTATTTTTTCAAATTGAAAGCTGTATTTATTGTAATGTAATATAAGATTTGGATTTTCAGTTGAAATTTAGAATATTTTTATTTTATAAATAAACATTTTCAAATACTCTTCCTGAAGCCCAGTATCTTTTATATCCAAATGAACCATTACAGGATAGTAGCTTGAAGATTGAAAATAGGTCTTCCAGAAACTACACATTTCTAGGAAGAGCATTCAAAATATAAATTTTCAAATCTTCAAAATATAAATTTTTTTCCCCTATGATTTCACCTATTTAAGTGAACTTTTATGATTTTCTAGTGCTACAAAATCCAATTTCTACAGACCAAAAAATTTCTTTTCCCACAGAAATTTTGGTCGCTTATGGTTATTTTTCCACTTGTTTTGCACAAGTTACACTCACTTCAGATAATTAACGAAGATTAAATGTTTCGGGTCAATAAAATTAATCTAATATTTCATAAACATCTAAGCCCTTCATCTTATCTCAACTAATAAACCACTTAATCATTTAGTAACATAATTTTTATTATTATAATAAGTATGTCTTTCCAATGAGGACAGAAACAATACTCCTTTTCTTTAACACAGCATTTATTTCTTTTAACATAAAATATAATTTTTATATTTGTTTAAAAAAATTTGCAATTACAATACAAATATATAACTTATTACAAATGACATTTTGAAGGATCATGCTGCATCTTGAGAGACACGTACAAAGGCGTACAAAATAAGGTGTTAAAATTTACTATTACACACACATTTTCTTGAGACCCAGAATACCTCCCCCATTCCTTTACTAACATTAATAAATTAAGTATAAATGTTGGCGGCAAGCGTTGTTGACAAAATCTAAAGAATAGAAATACTCTCTCCTGTTAAGTAGAAACTATTTTGCATCAAAAAACAAGCTACAGATTTCGTATACTCGTCCTGCCACTGAATTTACTAACTCTTCCACTCCTCTTGCATGTGACAAAATGACAACTCAAGAAAACATGTAGGGATAATAGAAACATTTTATGTCCTTACTGGCCGAATGCTGCAGTACTAGTAAGACAATTTCTCATCCGATTTTGGCATGTTGTAAAGATGAAAAAATTTGGACCGAAGTTAAACCTTTCAACACAAAACATTAAAATAACAAAGTTTCATAATAACCTTACATATTAACCCTTCATAAAATTCTCCTAATGCTACATTATTAATGATAAATATTTCACATTGTTTGTAAATATACAAGAAAATTAGTAAATAAATGAGAACTCAATATTTCTTGTTGTGGTTCAGGGAAAAAGAATAAATAAGAATTATATTAAATATACTAAATGACGGAGTGCAGGTACTTCACAATTTAGTTTGTTTTCAATTGAAGATCTTTTCAGTCATTACCTTCCGATTTACTACTGCATTCATGCACATCACCATTTGCTGCTTGAAGACTCAATGAAGACAAAATACTTGTATTTTGATCCAGAATGACTGCCACTTCTTTCTCTATTGTCTCACAACAACTGTCTCTGTCCTCTAATTCATTTTTATTTATCACATCACTTTCCATCCCCTGGTCCTTCAATAAATCATCTTTGCTACATACATTAGCTTCATCTTTGCTGCAGACATTAGCTTCATCTTTGCTACAGACATTAGCTTCATCTTGGCTACAGACATTAGCTTCATCTTTGCTACAGACATTAGCTTCTATCTTGACTGGTCTCACAATCTCGTTGATAGGAAAAAAACCATGAGACTGAAATGATGAAAGATCTATTCTTTCATTGACTGGCACAATAGCACCATCTTTTAACATCTGAATCAAAACTCTGGCAATATTTCGAGAGTCATCAATTCCACTGTGGCGCCTTCCTTCAAACTCAAAGTTAAGTTGCCTAAGCATGCCATCCAATGTAGGTTTTCGTTGGTTATAGAAATTGGAAAAGATTTTCTTTATATTAACCCATTGCTTAGCAAACTTTGGATAAGGTAATTTGGATTGCTTTACCTGCATGTAAAGAAATCTGGCCATATCCCAAGGACCATCAGTGACAATTGCAGACTTTCCAGTTAAGTTATGTTGCTGCATCCATTCCATAAACCTTTGTAGAACTACAGGAAAAGGATCTGCTGAATCAACCTGACTCTGCGTCACTCCAGTCAATGATGTGCAGTAGTCAGACAAAGTCTTATTCACACTTGGCTTAACATATTCATGGAAAATTCTGTCTATAACAAGCGTTTCAGAATTAACGACAACAGCAGGAAATTCAATTATTTCATGTGGAAAGTCGGTTTTTGTAGAAAATTTATCTTCACATGTTGCTTCAAAATCAATAATAATATAATAAGGATAGAGCTTTTTTGGCATTTTCATTGCAGCTTCTGCGAGATACATTTTACTGTAATGTGACTTCAGTCGTTTCCGCAGAATATCAGTAGATCCTTCGACACACATGTTAAGACTTCCAGCCAATTTTTTCAATTTTGCATACGTGAGCTTATTTATTTCCCCATTTTTTAGAGAAATTTTCTTGAACACTGGATCGCTGTAGGGCGATTCCAAGTCTCTCTTTTTCCCGCCTTCAGCCATTGGTTCACGGTTTGCGATCTGTCGAAAATTATTTTCTGATAATGTAATTCTATGAAGAATCAACAGCAGATCTTGCTTCACGCGAAATAAAATTTGCTTATCAAAAAAAACGCACTCTGTGAACACAAATTCTGACAAATTCCTGATACTATTATTGGCACCAAGGAGTTAAGAATCATTACCACCATTCCACTAACCCACAACAAACACATCGATCCTGCATCGACGCCACTTGGTGCGTGGAAAATCGACTGCTCGAACCAGCTCGAACATCCTCGAAATTTGCGTTTGACAGCTGAAACCACAGAATAATTAGGAAAAGGCTGAAACACACCAAAGAGCCCTTTTAACCAGTCAACTTGGTGCGTGAAAAGTTCCATAGAGCTGATTTTTTTCCGAGACTATTAACTTGGCGTTTTATAAAAGGAGTGAAAAGTTCCGAACAGTCCCGGTTTATCCAAATACTATAGAAATGTAGATCTGTGACTTAATTATATTGAATGGCTC